AATAGACACTATGTAAAGATATCTTACAGATAAGATAATAAAATATCTGAATACACGATGCCTTCTATAAGACTTAAAGAGTCTCTGTTTTCCTTTGACTCTTCCTCTTGGTCCTTGAAAAGCAGTTACCTTTATGGTCAAAGTCATTTGGGGCATTACAAAGGCTTGGCATTAACCAGTTCATTTGTCCTGCACAATCTGAATGCAGCAGTTCGTGAAAACTGAGGCAGCAGGGCTGCATGCGTTATAGTGCGTTTATAGAGAAGCCATAGGGTTTTACCTTTTTTGTGAAGAGAAACCTCAAATCCTTCAAATAGATTGAACCATAAAACACTACCAAGAGTAAAGTAAGTGTTTTGTGTTCTGGGAATATGAACAGAGTTTCTAGCTCTCTGGGTATAATTATAATGATGTAATATGTCATATATTGGGAAAGAAGACAGAGTGAAATATATACTATATACAAATAAATCTAAAACATCATGGATATTTGTCTACAGTACTTTCTTCCTTTTGGAAGTGGAGGTTCTAATTCCTAACATGGATATCAACACAAGAAAGGAATCCCAGCCATATCTCTACCCTCAAATCCAGTTAACAAACAGACAGCAGAGAGTGGGCATTATTAGCAAAAATATGCAAAGTAAGTAAATAAGTTAGAAATCACCAAGTGCTCATGTATGTTTCTGATAGGTATTTGGGGAGTTTTGGGGGGTGGGGTGGGGTGTTAGGTCTTCCTTTTACTCATTCATTGAGAAAATAAATATTTATTGAACGTCTCCTTTGTGCTAAATTCTGAGAATTTAGCAGCAAACAAAACAAACTTCCTCAGCTCTAAGAGCTTGTGATCTAGATTTTGACCTATTCCTCGGCTACACCATTATCTGTCTGTAAATTGGCTCAGAGAACTTCATGATTCCATCAGGTTGTTGTAAATGGCCAAAGTATAGGGGAACAATGGGTGAGAGGAGAGGGAAAGGGAGAAGATGGAGATGAAGGAATAAACAAGAACAGAAAGGAGGACAAAATTGAAGGTGAAACAGTGGGGATCAGACAATCTGGACTCCAGTCTCCAGCCTGCCCTGCCTACAACTGTCTATGAGCTCGAGTGTATTATTTTCCAGCTATAACCATTTTTTCCTCATCATCAGGCCAACATCTACTTCTCAGGGCTATCATGAGGATCACAAAAGTCGTGAGTAAAAACATTTTGTTATCTATTAAGTATTTTAAAATGAAAGAGATTTTTATCATCATCGTCTTTGTTGTTTTGTCTAAACATGTCATAGGATATAGAGATAGTTGCATGTAATTTTTAAACATAAGAATGTTTTCCTATTTGTTAAGAAAAGAGAAAAGCATGGATTAGTAGGCATAGTCTTGGCCATAGGCTCTAGGGGCACTATGAGAGATGAAAAA